CTACCATAGTGATTAACCAGATGATTTTATGATTTTGGTGTTGGTCTGTTTCATTCTAGTGATCATAAATAGTTTGGAATGTTTAAAATAAAGAGACGCATACTTTTAAATACACACACAAATCAAAGTTGTACACTTATTGGTTTCTCAGAACTAAGTGCTATAGTCAGTGGACATTAGTTGAGATTTTTAAAAATGCAACATAATAGATGTACCTGCGAGTGGGAATGTGTGTAATATGAGCTAAATATAACATTTTCATTTATATGACCAAGATAGTAGGCTGATGATGTGGAAAATAAAAAGCAGAAAGATGTGCAGTGAGTCATAGGAAAAGAATTGATAATTGATGTAGAGAACACATTTAGCCTTGCTTTGTTGTTCTTAGATTTTAGTGTGATTATTAAGAGAAGATGTGTAGCAAGCATGTTGGGAATTAGGCTTAAAATCAGTCATTCTCAGGAGTAACAGAAGAGCCTTGTCTAAATTAGTCGAGGATTGATCTGGTCCACTGCCCTGTTTCCCACAATGACCAACCAAGAGTTTCCACCTAATAGTCAAAATTTTTTCAGTAACTCTTTAGCTTATTTTTGGTGGCTCTAAACGGTCTTATATGACTCATCATAATGTGGCTTTTAATATCTTGGGGGATGGTGCTGGCATTTGGTATAAAATGGAAGAAAGTGATTCATTGCGGTACTAAGTGTACTGTTTCTCAGTCTGGAGGAGGAGGGAAGACACCAAATACATGGGGGAAACTCAGGCAGCAGCTGTTCCATGGAGTTGTTATACAGCATTTATAAAGGAACTGGTACCTATTTCATTGCCATCCTTTCCTTCTCATTCCTATCGTTCATGTTAGATTATAAACTGTTGTTTTTTAAAAAGTTACATTGCCTTCAGTGAATGCGTATCCATCCAGTCTCTTCCAGGAGCAGCATTATGCGCATGCTAACTTCTGAGTGCAATAAAGACGCCTTTATCAGATTTGTACAATCAAGGAAACCAGGGGGAACAGAGTCCTGCTGTTCACTCCTGCTGAATGACAGTTCAGATCACACAATTTCCCTTTTGATCCACAGGCTCTCATTATGAGGTCTCATATGAGACAGTACCAAGCCAACTTGCTCAGCTTCCCAAATAGCTCCTCTCTTTGCTTTCTCTCTCCTCCATAAATTAAATTTGGGGGGGGGCAGGGGGAAGAGAGAGCTTGATTTACATTCTGGCTGGGCTTTCAGTCTGTTGGTTTCTTTGAGAGAGGCGGACAATCGGGATCACACACCCCTTTCCTCCCGCTAATTAAAATGAATACCAGAAAGGTGGTTTACTGCTGTGCTTGCTCACCAGAGAGAAATTTAGAAATATTTCACCTCTGTAATGGATTTTATGCCTAACTGTCTGCCTCTTTCTTTTGCAGGCCCAAAACGTTCAGCTTAGCAAAGATATGACTCTCGCCAGTAACCACAGCCTAGCAGAAGGAAACCTCTTATACCAACCAAAATTAGACGCCCTGAAAGCCTCATTAACCCAAAAGTATCAAGAGCTACAGGTTCTCTTCGAAGCGTATCAGATAAAGAAAACCAAGCTAGGTAATATTCAGGAGGAACAAATCCAATTCCCTTCAAGTCTCTTCCTTTCCATAAGGGGCTTGGGATAGCTGGGATGAGCTCCAGATTATTAGGTAATATCAGTACATAGCAAAGAATGGGCTTGATTCAGTCCTCTAATGAGCTGAGCAGTGGTGAATTGAACTAGAGATGTTTAAACTGATTCTTTTCAAGCATGTCGTTCAAAAGAGGTGGCACGTCTCCTTAGCACCTTTTACCCACAAGAGAAAAAGGAGCCTGGTCTCCACTAAGACCTTTCTCGGTGCAATGGTTGGCTGTGGCATCCAAATATAAAGCACCTTTTAATTTAGAACTGAACTAATGCAAATTAATAAAAAATATGACTTATAACGAATTGACAATGTTTGGTAGCCTTAATAGTTAGTAGTTTGTGTTTGGAAAAGTTAAACTTTTCAGCTGCTGGTTGTGGGAATGTTTGGGGAAATGAGCTGTTGATAAGAACAGATATATCCTGCCTGCTGGTGTTCCAGTCCCCAGAGATGGCCACTCCATTTGGAAGGCTGCCATGTTTCCTCGACCAGCCCTCAAAAGCTCTATGGAGTATACTGTCTTGTAATAAAAGCACTGGCGCAGGGCAGTAGAAGTTTCCAACCAGCACACATGTTTTCAGTATTCATTATCACAGAGCAGTAAGGTGGGCTGGCCTTCCTTTCTTTGTATTCCTCCCTGCAGACTTCAAAAGAGTTTAAACTTTTATTTCTTCCTATCCTATTTTGGCCCTAATCAATTGATTGCAAGGATTCACCTCGGTATGTCTGTATGGGTGTGTTTCTACTGCTTTTGTTCTTCTCAACCTTCTGGTATACTGCCTAGGAACTTGCAATTGCGGCAGTGTACAAAATATTGTAAATCAATAAATGTTACAAAGAAGGGAGTGGAGTTGATGGCAAGAGAGTGCAGCAGACCTAAAAATCTGTTAGGGAGTTTGTGGTTGGGGTTATATCTGAATCAAGACATCCCAACTTCGAGGCTCACTTCACTAAAAAGTGAAGACATCCTCAAGTTAAGCTAAATTCCTCGTTATTACATGCAGTTTTCTTTGAAAATGTACAGAAGGAAGTGTCTGTTTTGCTTCTGTCTAGTCTAGCTTACAGTCTGGAATAGTCACCCATCCAAGAACTAACCAGGCTCAACACTACATAACCACGGAGCCCAGACAAAACTAGCCATGGCTGCAAACTCTTGTAATGTATTGAAACAGAGCTAAAACATCATGTTCCCAAATTAGCAGTTAATGCAACTTTCCCCATAAACATGCATATGATAACTGTGTTAGCTAGTCATTGGCAGGGCCTCATCCATCCTGTGGGTGTTTACCACTTAAGTTTCATTTCCAGAACCAGTATGAAACAAAATATATGCCTAAGGAAGATTAATGTCACAGCCTCCCAGTTTCTAGTCCAGACCTTAACCATTGCACAAAACTGGTTTTCAGTTTGTCAGAATCAAACACAGTGCAAGCAAATAATCAGTGCTAGTTCTGAACCTAAATGCATTGCACTAGTATTAATGGCTTCTCTTCTGTGCTTTTATTTTTAAATTGTTTTATTCTGTGGTAATCATTCATTTATGAGCTCTGCTTTAATTCATGGCTGTTCCTGTTGTTCTCCCTACCTCTTCCTGGTTTGCAGACAGACAATCCAATAATGCTTCACTGGAGACCCTTCTTGCACTTCTTCAGACAGAAGGGGCCAAAATTGAAGAAGACACTGAGGTAAATAAGAAAAATCTCCTATTGGGTTTGCTGGGATTTTGAAGGAACCATTCTTGTTTCTGAGGTTTCACTGCAGTCTTGCAAAACAAATGGACTCGCCATGAAATACTAGCCAGCTACCATTAACACTGATCATGAGGGCTTGAATTATAAGGTGTCTTTCCCCTTGTGGTTGGATCCCTACCCACCCACCCAAGAATACCGCTGAACTTGGAGCTTTAGAAAGTAGGAAATTGTTAAAGGACCTCAGATGGAGGAGCTGAGAGCTTGTGATTTGAAGCCCATGTGATACGGGATCCAGACCATGGGATACATAAGTGACGAAGTTGCTGTGGGCTAAGTCAGCTCTTCCAAGTTATCTTCTAGCAGCAAGAGACAAAGAGGCCATTAGAAACAGGCTCTTTCTTTCCAGACCGTGTCCCTTCCTAACAATTCATTCCCTCTCTCCAACAGAACATGGCCGAGAAGTTTCTGGATGGTGAAGTTCCACTGGACACCTTCATTGATGAATATCAGAGTCAAAGGAAATTAGCTCACTTGCGGCGGGTAAAAATAGAAAAACTCCAAGAGGTGGTACTGAAAGGACCCCGACGGCCCCCGGTGCCCCCTCAGCCTGTGCTTCAGACTTCAGAGGCAAATACGCCTCCTTCTGTCATGCCTCGCCGTAATCCCCCCCCTCCTCCTCCAGGGTCCGTGGTCCCAGCAGGACGTTTTCCGACTCCTTTTGTGGCGGCGATGAGCGCGGGGCCAGCCCTTCCTTATCCAAGCATTCTGTATCCTCCAATTCCCCCGAGAACAGGAGCTCCACCACCAGGTCAAGGGCCGTTGCCAGGTTACCCAAATCCGTTTGTGCCGCTGTACCCGCCCGCCCTGCCTCAGCGGCCCCCGCCTCGCCTTCCTCCCAACCCCGGTTTTATCATGGAATGAAAATGCCATTGCGTCCTGATTTCTGTACACTGGTGCTGACCTTTTACGATCCTTAAAGCTTGGAAAGTCAACCGAAGTAGTGGGAAATCAACAGCGCTCCGTGCACAAGGGGAACCCTCAACGGATCCTGCAAACGCCACTGGTTTTGATCAATTTTTTAAAAGAGAGAATCAACCTCTCCATCAAGCCCTTTCCTAGATGGGTGTGAAACCCATGTAGAATCGGTGAAATGCTTCCATTATAAACAGAGACTTGCCTCGTTCTTCAGAGGAGATTTGAGCCATGTGGTGGCCTGCTGGCCACTTCCCAGGAGATCTCAGTTCTTTTTACTCCTTGACTTGGGCACGGGAAACAAATTCCAGAAAAGAACCCCGTTCTAATCCCCGAAAGGTTAGCTTTTGAATATATGTTCTGAGAACAAAGTCACACTGAAATGGCAATAAAGGGATTCGTGGTGGTGGCGGTGGTACAAAAAACATGTAGAAACTAGTGAGTTTGTGGTTCTGAGTTAGCAAAACTTTGTATTAGCCCCAGTGGGGGGCAAGTTGTTTGCCCTCTAATGTAATCCCATCCATTTCAGCAACAGGCTGCCAATTTCAGTGGGCGGGTGTGGGAAAAATCAACGACTTGTACATATGAAAACCTCAGGATTTAAAAAACAGCAAATGGGAATTTAAATCTCCGTTCTTGAGGATTAGTCAGGAATACACAATCTGTGCCACTGGAGCAACACCATCATTCTGCTTCTTGTTCCTCTCTTCACCCCACTTCCTTTCATAACTTCTTGCTTGTGGTGAGGGATATGTGTCTCTGACACATTTTCCCAGCCAAGTTCTAGAAAGTCTTGGCCTTTAATGTGTCTGTGTCTTGGGGAGCAAGTTCTGCCAAAAACACTCATGAGCCCAAGCTTGACTTAATGCTTGTTTCTATCTTAGCCAATTAGTTCCTCCAGCTTTATATTCTCATTCCTTAACCCTAAACCAAAGTTATCCTATAACAGGGAACCTCATGTCTGCTTCAGATTGGGTCAAAAAGTCTCTCCCCCCCCCCTTTTGCTGCTTCTTACAAATCTTTTGTGTGCTTCAGAAGTTATACTTTTCCAAAAGACCAGGAATCTCTCAAGATAACAGGACTACTGTTGTTTTTTTAAAAGAAAATAAGATGTGTGTCCCTGAGGTGAAACATTCACACGTTTGGAAAAAACCAGATTGAAAGCAGCATTTCCTATTTAACTAGAGCATCCATCTCTGGGCAAGTGTCTTAACGCATCTCTGGTTGATTTGCAGTATAGTTCCACGTAAGACCTGTTTCTTAAATAGGTTGAGTTTTGTTGATATCACTAACACTTCCCTGAAATCCGTGTTGCCACAATCATGTTCTTGAAGAGAGGGGGCAGCTTCACACTGGAAAGTTATTTGAAGGGAGTGATAACAAGGGGTAGAGGGAGCTGTGAGAAACACAAGTGTGAAGTTGTGAGAACACTGTATCAATTATCAGCTTCTGTTGCCATTTGACTTTCCGCTGGTGCAGAATGTCATCTGATTTATCTTTCTGGAAGAACCCAGAGCAGTGAATCTAGACCTTGATGCATACACTCCAGCGTTTTTCTCCTGCTCGTTACGTTCTGTGACTTCTTAACAGGACTCTCTAGTTCACGTCCTCCTCATGGCGACCGAAGCTAAGCATTTACCATGCTTGCTTAACTAAGCCCTGGGAAATGCGTGTTGCATCATATTTATACCGTTCTAAGCTCTTCCTCTTTCCAAGAGTGACTTAAGAATAACCTTATAAAAAATTTTTAGAGCAAGAGGATCTTTTCTTCAAGCCATAACTTTAGGTTGAAAGATAAAAAATTGAGGTTATACTCTTTTGTCAGTTTTGCCATTGTATACTTGGGATCATCTGCAAAATGCCCCTTTCTCCTTAGGGGCCAGATTTCCTTTTCTTGGGCTAGAATGATCCTTCTGGATACAAAATGTTGAGGTTGGCCGAGGCCGGTAGTTCCAAACCAGTTAGAGCCTGCTGTATGAACTATTTCACCCTGTGGAGATGTGGGCAATTGTGAAAAAAATAGACTAAGGGAAAAGCATTTTTATTTCTTGAAAAGACAGCGAAGGTATACAAGTATTACTCAGCACTTTACACCCATGTGATTCTGTCATGATCTGTAGCACTTATCAGTTTGTTTCTCTCTGACGCTAACTGCGTGTGAGACACGCAAAGCTTCTGAGGCCACGGCTTGTTAACTGGCTTTGTGGATGTGATTCTCTCAAGGGACCTGTTCCTACATGCTCTTCAAAAAGTTGCTCCTTGCAGGACAACCCTCTGAGGCACTCCCGTGCCCTGAGAGATATCCAGTGCTGGAAAAGACGCGTGATTTGCCCTCGGAGGGAATCGTAAGCTTCAGCTTATCTAAAGAACAGCTTTTGGATGCATCTCAACCAGTTGAGTGTCCTTGAGCGGATGAGTCACTCAAATTCCTTTTGGGCCCAGTGGGTGACTTGCAGAAGTCTCGGTTGTGTTAAAGACTCTCGGCAGCTTAAGTCACAAAGATGAGCTTCGATGCCAATTGTATTAGTCTTTCAGCTTGTCATGGCATCGCGCTATGGAGCCAAGGGCGGGCATTAAGGCATCCATTTCTCGGCACTGACATCAGTTATGACTTCCTGCCTTTTTCATTTTTTAATTGAGAAAAAGCGTGGCTCTCAGTGTTGTATGTGATGTGTTTTCTACTCTTCAAGCATTGCAGATTCACAACATAATTGGATGTTGCCCAGATGTTAGAAAAGCAGCCTTAGTTTTAGGAAGAAGCCCCTTGTTGGACACCCTTGCGTAACTGATGCGGCAAAGTATGTTCATAGGTGACTCTGCTCCAGGAAGAGGCCTCAGGTGCTTAATGTTTCATCAGTCATACATTCTCAAGGGCCACATGTACTCAAGTTCATGGCGAGGATGCTTTGCTCCAGTTTTCACGTGTCACCGCTGGCTTTTATTTTGTCGGCAGTGAGAATATCTGAACTCTCCCCAAGAAAAGGAGAATTAAGCCTGTGTATGAATTTCGCAGAGCGTTTTCTTGCTTTCTGAAACATTCTGGGACTCGGATCATCATGTTCTTATTAAGACATAGTCTCCCCCATCTTCCCAAACTCCGTGCTACTAATTTGCCTTCCAAAAAAAAAAAAAATTGTGCAGAGATACTTTGGAAGAGTCTGCTACAGCCATGATGCACATAGATTTTGTACAGTGTACAGCTACACTGGGCGAAGGGCTAACGTGTGCCTTAGAACCACTGCATGAAATTTCTTAGGAAGAAATTCCTTCTGCATTTCCTCTATTTCCCTTTATGCTGAGAATTTAGAAGGAAACTGATGGCGGCATCCCATTGTCTCCTTATGGTAGGAAACACAGATCTTTGGCTGGCAGCAGATTTTTGCTAAAAGGTTTTTTTACCAGAGAAAGAAGGAAGCCTCGTCTCATGGCAAGAGTCAGTCAAGCCCACTGGGGGAGGAGCAGGCCACGTTCACTCGAGGTTGCAGTCCTTCGGCTGTGTCCATACAGCAAATAAATAATAATCGGAGCTTGGGTGGAATGGAGCCACTCAAGGCCTTTGCCAGTTGCAGGCATTCCTGCTTAGGTGTAATTGAAATCAAAGGGCTGACAGAAAAAGACAGGAGAGGAACGGATCTTCAACTCTTGCTTGGTGGAAGCTGAAACTGCATGTGTGCACGCACACACCCTGGCCCAAAAAGAGCCATTGCGCCAGAATTGGTGCCTGTCGGAGTTGATGGAGAAAAGGTGGCAACGCAAACCCCGGCTGCTCTCCTAATGGCCGCCCACACGCCGTCGTTCACTGAAGTGGAGATATCCCTTGTCACCTCCAGGCCCTGGCGATGGCGAACCCTACCTGAAAAGACATTGTTCTTCAGCCAGAATCAGCCATGCTGCTTCCAGGGAGCAGTTTAACCCGCTTGACAGAATGATTTTCTCTTAGCGCTCAGGGTGGAACCTTTCTCGTTCACTTTTGATATTACGGTTTGCAATAGTTTCGTTTACACGAGTCACGTTTTTGAAACAGCCCTTTTAAAAAGCCAAACGCCTCCGAAGCGTAAGAAGCCATGTCTCCCTGACGGAATTATCTGGGAGGGAAATAGCTGCAATTTTATACCATGGTCTTAATTGCCCTTTTTGTGAAGGTGTGCAACTCAGGAGGGAGGGTTGTGGTAGCGTGGAACGTCACAGTAAACTGGCCTGATGTTAGCAGTGTCCACTTTCTTGATTAGTATTGTGAAAAAGCACGTGCAGATTTTGCTGGTCTGCCCTTGTTCATCCAATGCCCAGCAGCGGATCTGCAGATCAGTGCCGTTTCCTGGTAGGTGGTCGTACACAAGGCAGGCCTGTGTTCAAGCCCGAATTAGGCTATTTCTGTCCTAGGAAGGGAGGCTGGCTCTGTGTCTTAACGAAGAGAAGGGTCATTTAAGGCAACTTGATAATCCTACAGCAGGACAGTTTTCTGGTGCTTTTAGGCCTCAGATTACAGCGATTTAGCGTTTGATGCTGGAATGAGCCAGTTCTAAACTATACCGTGCTACCTATAGCCTCCAAATGTGCCTGGGATGCAGAAAAATGTTACCTTTCTTGCTTCTGGGACAACACCTAATGTATCAAGCCTGTTCAACGTTGTTGTACAACTTAGAATGTGGTTTCAAAACAAGCTTCAGAGCTGAAAATGGTTACTTTTTCTTGTAGAATTGCTGTTTTATAGAAACAAACTTTGGGGTTGCAGTGATTACTCATTAAAAAAAAATTCCTAAATTTTGTACAAACTGTTGTTGCTGATTTCTTACACTTCTTTACGCCTACAGTGTGCCGGGAGCCTGTAGCCAAGGTTCAACAAGTCCTTTCTCCAACTATCCACTGATTTCAACCATCAGGGCTTACCTAAGTGTGTTGCTTTCAGGCTGGCCTGATTTTGTAGGAAAAAAGGAGCAAAACATTTAATTGGATTTCAAGGCTAGAAATTCATGCAGACAGCCATTCTATACACTAACGAGCTCCATTGGAACTTCATAGTAGGCTGGTATCAAATAGCCTTTTTCTGGCATTTTGCAACAGTGTACAATAAAAGATGATCAATGGGTAAAAATTAGATGTGTGTTTACAACAGAAACAGAACTTCCTTTCTGTTCAAAATATAACCATAAATCAGGTTCTTGCTTGGTAGTCTGAACAGAAGCTGCTTTATTTCCTAGCTATAAAATCTCTCATAACTGGAGCAACAGCTGGAGCAAGGAGGATAATGGCTGGTTAGGTCCCAGGAGAAATCTTGCTTTGCCTTCCGTGCTGGGAAGTCAATAACCCGTGTGCAACCCCCACAGATTCTGCTCTTCTAGTCAGTTGCTCAGTAACTGTAATCAGGGTGACCCGAGTTTGAATCTATACACTAAGCTTTCCTTGGAAGCTCATTCAAGGAGTGGCAGAATCAAATCGGAGAGTAAATGCTAAATGAAACTTCATGACCCAGGCAATGCTAGCCAATGGCCAAAAAGAAAGACACAACCCAGTTTCAGCTAAATCATTTTAATAAGCGAAAAAGTTATCTTAAGGTTTGGTTAAGAACAGTTCCCCTCCCAGTCTCTTTTTCCTTTGCAAAGAAGCCCCCTCTCCAAATCTCAGCTACTTCCAACAGTAATTCTGAAATAAGTGGGATGACTTTTTTTTTTGCATTGTATTCCTAAGTAAGGTTTTAAGGGATTTTAAAACCACTAGTTTTTTTTCCTTTCTGTGTATAAATTCAGTTCTTCTTAATTGTGTACTATAAAATCTCTAAAAGGTATTTCATTTTCACCCCAGGGTAACCCATTTTCGTTTTGCTTCAGACCAGCATAAAAACTACAAGGAACCACATCTAAACAACCAACAGTAGCCACGGAAATTCACATTTCTTTAAAAACATCTTCATAGAATAATAGATACACCAATATTTACTCAAAAATTCCCAAATGATTCCTATTGCTTATAAATAATATCAGCGAGCCCTAATCCCCTTTCCTCTTAGGGTTTCTGCCTTCTCATTGACAGTGGTGGGCAGAAGAGACCTCTCAGAATAAAACCAAGGCGGCAGAAGGCAATGGAGATCCCGTTGGCATCTGTTTAAAACACAGATGTTTAAAGGGGTTGGAATGTCTACACTGGGGGTGGGGGCTCCTGAGTGTCTCCTGCCACAGAAAGGCTGAAGGGTGCTGACATCTTAGCCCCTCCACCAGAAATCTATGTTTCGGGGTACTGGCGAAAAAACAGCAGATCCAAGGGTTGAATTCCTTGAGGGCAAGGCAGAGTTAGAAACCGGGAAGCCATTTTTCTGGCACTTGCTTCTACTCTGCTCGGCTGCCTGTTGGTTGCCTTAGAAGTTAACTATGTGGGCTTGGTAGACTCCATCCTGCGCCAACTGTAAAGGAGAAGAGGGAGGGAGCCAAAAAAAAAAAAAAACTGTAATAGCTGTTTTCCAGCTGAAGAAGTCATCCTCTCTGGAGGGAGCGTGGCCTGTCTCACGGGTTTTTGCAAAGCATTCTCACGGGGCCGAAGTCCAGTGGGAAAAGGGTCTGAGAATCACGGGTGGTGAGGGAGTGGTATGGCGTGGCCCTTCCCTTCTGCCCATGGTAGGGGTGGGGGAACGGAGCCCCTCTGCTCACCTCATGGTCCGGCTTGGTTTGGCCTGGCTTCTGTGCCGTGGCAGGTCTCTGCAAGGATGCTGGCTTACGAGCGACAGCAGGCTTCCTTCCATCTGCGCTCTCCGCGTAAAGACCGGCCAAGGCATAATGCTGCCGCCTCAGCTCCCCGAGACGCAGCCTCTCGTTTTCCAGCGTCTTTTCCAGCTCCAAAACCTTCACCTGCAAAACAGAATCTTCTGGATTGGGCTCTGTGAAAGAGCAGGTAAGTTCACTCGCTTTATTTAAGAAACTTACACAGCCACCCATCTGACGTGCCATTCCTCTGGGTGGCTCACAGCAGCAAGAAGAAATAAATAAGTGACAAGAAAAAATCTCCCAAGAGCAGGTCCTCAAACAACCATTTAGCAAAGACCCACAAGTTCTTCCCGTGCCACTGTGGAGCTGGTCCACTATACTTTACAGCCTGGGTCTCACCCTGTGCTACACAAGATGGTGCCCTGGCTGGACAATCTTTACTGAACAAAGGCCAGCAGGCCCACCCATTCTCATTACACACACAGCTGTTTCCCATGCTTTCTAAGCAATGACTAACTTACATTCCAGGTGAAAGGAAACTAAATCCAGCTTCTCATGATGCTGTGATCTGGACCAGCATGCTGAGCCCTAAGTATTTGTTGAATAGCAGTAGGGTCTGGTGTCCAACACCTGTTCTCCTAGAGGAAACTCAATCCTTGTGCTATGGTTATTTAGATTCACAAGAATCTGCAACTAGGTTGTTATAAGATGGGGCAGCGGGGAGCTTTGAGTCGTGCTTGTTGAGGTATTCCTGGACCAGCCTTTGGGGAAAGGCGCTACATTCAAGGAGGTGTCATCCTCCACATCCTGAGCAGTCAACATCACTACATTATCCAAACCTTCCTTCTATGTATGCGTTTTCTCAAAAGAGTAAAATCTCAACACTCCTGTTAAGAAATTCCGTGGCTCCAAAGTACCTGTGTCTCCATTTCCTCTTTCTTGAGTTTGATCAAGGACATCCCAGAGAAGTCCATGGTGTCTGGTTGGAAGAGAAAAAGAGGCTCGTTACAGAGGTGGTCACGATCCAGCTCCTCCTCCAGATGTTCTCCTGTCTTGATCAAGGTTGCACAGGAGAGATGGAAGGCTTGCCCCGTTCTGCAATTCTGGGCATTCTGCAATTCTTCACCCTGGCTGCGTTTCAATAAAACCTCACCACGTCTTCTCTCCAACATTGTTTCCTAAGGCAGTTCAAGGCCATTTGCTCTAGAAAATCATGGACCAAGCCTACAGGGCCTGGATTTCTCTCTTTAAAAGGAAAGCTGAGATTCTCAGAAAGCCTAGTTCAGCACCTACTGCTGCCCAAGAAGAGTGTCTGTATAACATACCACAAATAAAATCACAGCTTAAGTTAGCTGCATCTTCTCCTGCTCAAGAGACCCTAATAACGGAATGTGGGAGGCAGAATGACCGCCCAATTGTGATGGACACATTAAAAGAAAGGGAAAACTTCCTTGATTGGAATTCCTGGAGATTTCTCAGGCACAGCCATTTAGTTTTCCAGATAGGAATACGGAAGTGCTCTGCTCCTTGCACAGGAAGGCCCAGGCCACTCATCCCTTACAGATCCCACCCACCTCTCAGGGCTGTTGTGAGCTGCTCGGAAGAGGCGTGGAATAAAAAGTGGCTTTAAAAAATGATCGTTGCCCATTAGGGCTGCATTTTCGACGGCTCCTTCTGGCTTCCAATGCATCAGTGCTTCCTAGCCACAGCACCTTCCAGGGGGATGGAATTCAATGCCCAGAATTCTCTTGCTACCGCCAACAAAGTTGACGAGGCTGCCAACGCGGCCACGAACCCTTCTGCAAACCAGTCAGCCGAACTGTCTGAAGTGCAGACTGCAGATGGGAAAGGACAAGCCTTCTCTACGTCCCGCTTAGCCACCCCAACCAGGCCTTACCTTTCTCTTCTACCTGCTCTTGACCAGACTTGGTGGAGGCCACGACGTTGGCGGCCATCTCGTTGACCGTACGCGAGCACTCCTGGAGCTTGCTGAGGTTCTTGCTGTGCTTCTCTGCTTTCACCTGGTGTCCCAAACCAAAAACAAGAATCTCAACAATCCCTTTTAACGCTTTCGGAGACTAATACGTGCTTTGGATCACTTCCAACGGTAGAAAC